CGATGGCGTCGGGGCGTTGCTGCGCTACTGCGGCCACTTCTTGGATGCCTTCGTCCCAGCGGAGGGTGACGGAAGCCTGCGGGGCACGGGGCCACGCGGATTTGAGGTGCTGAACGTGCTGCATGTGCGGATTGTGCGGTATGATGAGCTTCTCCAGCTGGGAGACGATGGACAGGTCGAGGCCGTGCTCTCGTGCGCAAGTGCGGCGTTCGCGGTCGTCCACCACGAGGTACCGGACCAGCCCAGAGTCGGCAGCCGAGTACACTTTCCTGTACATGGTGCCGTGGATGCGAATGAAGGATGGTCTCAAGACGCTTCCAAATCGGACTTCTCGTTCAGGAGTGGCGCTCTGGACTTCGTGGGCGGCGAGGCTCAGCAAGCTGTTGTAACGTCGAGAATCGGCAGTGAAACCCGTCAGCTTTGGTGCGTTGGTGGCGTCGTCGTGCACGAGCCGGCCGTGCGCGTCGGTAACTGGCCACGTCCGTTGGAACAGCTTGAGCAAGGAGGAATCGGGCTGGGGGTAGTAGCTGTTGAAGTCGACGACGTATTTCCCATGACCGCAACAGAAGCCGCTCATCTCGCGTTGGAACAGGAATGCGCCGCAGCGCGAGCATTGGTGGTCCTGGCGGCCCAAAGACAGAGTTTGCACTGTGCTGGGAGGTCGGCCGGGCATTGTTCAAGCGCGGCACACTCCGAGTAATAAGTGGCGGTGACCGGTTCCGAAGTCGCCATGAAGGAGGACCAAGCCGCATTGAGCGCAGGCTGCGGTCTGACGGCCTCTGGCAATGCAAATGGCGCAGACGGGGTCAGAGGCGACCGCGCCTCGCACGGCGAAAGCGTCGGTCGGTTTGGCGCTTCCGCAGCTTACGCACGCGAAGGCGTGGGGTGACCGAGGCGTCTGAGCGTCCGTGGCAGCGGCGACGCACTGGATGCATTTCTTCGTCTGTCTCCGCCGTCGTCTGCTACTGAAGCTGTCTCGGGGCAAATCGCCCCCGCAGCCTGCGCAGAGTAAAGTGGGCTGGGGGCTGGCAGGGTCGGCGCTGGCCGCGGAACGGACGCACTTTCTAGTGGGCCGCCGTCTCTGTTCCGCGCTGAAGTCAGACTTGGGCCAATCCTGTTCGCACACAGTACATCGAAGCATGTCTGCCGTGGACATGCGTGAGTCCGCTGGAGCCCAAATGTTCACGGAGGAGTGGGGGGAGGAGGAACGCCAGATGGGTCTTTCGGAATATTCTGCGCGTTGTGTCCGGGTGCGCACTCCCCCCCACAGAACTCTTGGGGACCTCCGGGGGCCTCTTGGGGGCCTCCTGGGGGCCTTCTGGGACATCCCGGGGGCTTCTTGGGGCCGAGGGCCCGAGAAGTCAATTCGGATCGGCCGTCTTGGGGGCCTCTTGGGCCGGCGTGGGCGGCTCTTCGGCCGTCTTGGGGGACCCTTGGGGGCCTCCTGGGCCGTCTTGGGGCTCTCTTGGGCCGTCATGGGGCCCCCATGGGTGCCTCTTGAGCCGTCTTGGGGCCCTCTTGGGCCGTCATGGGGCTTCCTTGGGGGCCGCTTGGGCCGTCTTGGGGCTCCCTTGGGGGCCTCCCGGGCCTTCTTGGAGCGTCGGAATGCCGAAAAAGCGAGAAAGCCAAGAAACATTTGAAAAACCAATGAGAATCTACGATTTTCGCCTCATGGGGCCCTCTTCGGAGGCCTTTTGGAGACCGCTTGGGGCGTGTTGGTGGCCTCTTGAGGGCGTTCCGGGATGTAATGAGATCTCTTGGGCCCTTTTGAGGCCATGTAAGTCCCGCTTGGAGCGCTTTGAAGGCGTTCGTTGAGCGTCTTGGCGGCTTTTTGTGCCGTCTGTGGTACTGTTTGGAACGTCTGGGACCGATCGTGGGCCGTCTGGGCTGCCTCTTGGACCATTTTGGGTGCGTCTTGGGGCTCCTTGGGGGGCCCTGGAGGGGGGTGTGTGGGCGCGCCCCCCCCCCCCCCCCCCCCCGGGGGCCCCGGATCTCATGGGGGGGGTTCCCGATGTGATTTTATATGATAAAAGGAATATATATATATATATATATTATATATATATAGAGAGAGAGAGAGAGAGAGAGAGAGAGAGAGAGAGAGAGAGAAAAAAAGAGAGAAAGAGAGAGAGAGAGAGAGAGAAAGAGAGGGAGAGAGACACACAGAGGGGGAAGAATAGACACAGAAAACGAGAAGGAGAGAGGGATATATATATATAGAGAGAGAGAGAGAGAGAGAGAGAGAGAGAGAGAGAGAAAAAGTTAGAGAGGAAAAAACAACAAAGAACACTATGATGAGGAAGTGTAATGGGGGAGGGCATAGGGCAGGGAAGCAGGAACGAGGGGGGATTGAAGAGTTTTGCTGGGGTTTGGGGCAATCGGAAATAAAGTTTAACCGCTTACCCCATTATTCGGCTGGCTTCGTGGGATGGGGAAGCGAGAACAAGGAGAGGGATGAGGCGCATCCTGAGAGAGTCGGATCAAAAGGAAGGGTCGACATGACGAGGGGCAGAAGGAGAAAGCGGGACGACGGAAGAAAAGGCGAGGAGGGGGGAGGATTACATTTTAGATAAGAAGGAGGGGAGGGGAAGAGCATGGAGGAGGAGGAGGAGGAGGAACAGGAGGAAAAGGAGGAGGAGGAGGAGGAAGAACATGTTGGATGTGGAGGAGGAGGAAGAAGAAGAAGTGGAGGAGGAGGGGGAGGAGGAGGAGGAGGAGGAGGAGGAATATTATCTGACACGGGGTGTCTAGAGCTCCCACCACTTTATGCCGCGTCGCCCCCCCCCCCCCCTCTCCGCGTCCCCAGCGCCAGAGTGTGACCCCCGCGCCGTGGCCCGCTGCCCCGCGCCCCCCCGCGCCCCCACCGCCCCAGCGGGAGCCCCGCCCACTGCCCCCTCCGCCACGAACGCTTTATTCCGCGTCGCACACCCCCTCGTCCCCCCGCGTCCCCAGCGCTAGAGTGGGACACCCGCGCCGTGGCCATCTGCCCCGACCCCCCCCCCTCCCCCCCCGCGTCCCCAGCGCCACAGAGGGAGCCCCGCCCACTGCCCCCTCCGCCACGAACGCATTATTCCGCGTCGCACATCCCTTCCCCCGCGTCCCCAGCGCCAGAGTGGGACCCCCGCGCCGTGGCTCTCTGCCCCGAACCCCCCCGCGTCCCCAGCGCCCCAGCGGGAACCCCGCCCACTGCCCCCTGCGCCACGAACGCTTTATTCCGCACCGCGACGCACACCACCTCCCCCACTTCCCTCCCCGCGTGCCCAGCGCCCCAGTGGGGGCTCCGCCCCGTGCCACCTCCGCCCCGACGGTGTCATTCCGCGTCGCGGCGCACACCACCTCCCCCCTTCCCCCCCCCCGTCCCCAGCGCCCCAGTTGGACCCCCGCCCCGTGGCCTTCTGCCCCAAGCCCCGCCCAGTGCCCCCTCCGCCCCGACCAATTCAATCCGCGTCGCGACGCACACCACCTCCCCCCCTCCCCTCCGCGCTCCCAGCGCCCGAGTGATACCTCCGCTCTGTGTCCCCCTCCGCTCCGAGCACTTTATTCCGCGCCGCGACGCGCACCAATCCCCCCTCCCCACCTGGGATTTGGGCTTCGTTGTTGGGCCCCGAGGGGCAAGGTCGTGTCCCCTCTTCCCCCTCCTCCTCCTCCTCCTCTTTCTCCTCTTCCTGCCCCCTTTTTTTGTGCAAGAACTATGGCACACGTGCCACTTGTTTTGAAGCGGAAGAGGAACACAAGGCGAGGAGGTGGTATACGCTCCGATCGTATGGTGTAACTATGGCCAGCGCAAGCAGGAGGATGGAGAAGGATGAGGAGGAGGAATAGGAGAAGGGGGAGGAGGAAGACGAGGAGGAGGAAACGGAGGAAGAGGAAGGGGAGGAGGAGGAGGACCAGTGCAAACCCAAACCCCATCAACGATGTAGAAATACGCCCTCCCTCCAAGATCACTCTTCGGATGCCCCTACAAGGGTTTATGTCCACTGAGGGAACTGCCCCGTTGGGGGACAACCTTGTGAACATGTTGAAGCAATCCAGAACCCCTTATCGCATGACTTCAACGCCACGAGCGAGCCTGACTCTGCTACGCCTTGGCGATCCTGAACCGTGCAAGATCACCGCTTCTGGGACTTCAACAGCGCGAATCAACGGAACTGTTGCGCGTCGGCAAGCCCGAGCCGCTTCAAAACACCGATTCTGGTACGCTAGCCATGAGAACCAGTGAAAAGTGCGCAACTGCTTACAACGAGTGTGCACGGCGCTAAGTCGCGAGCCACAGTTTAGAAAGGAACCGCCCCCACCCCGCGAAATTCATTACATGTTCTGTTGAAGCGAATGTGCGCAGCGATAAAGGGAAAACCACATTTGGAAGGCCACCCGCCCTCAATCCGCGAAGCTCTTCCTCCACATGATTAAAGCGAATGTGCGCGGCGCTACGGCGAGAGCCACATGTTGGAAAAGGAATCACTTTCAATCCGCGCAACCCTTGCAAACTTTTACAAACAATGTGCGCGTCGCTGGGGCGAGAGCTACAATTTGGAAAAGAACCGCTCTCAATCCGTGCAACCTTTGCAATTGTTAAAAACGAATGTGCGCGGCGCTAAAACGAGAGCCATATTTTGAAAACCTACCGCCCTCAACTCGTGAATATCCTACCTTTTTAACACAAAAATTCGCGGCGCTAAGGCGAGAGCCACATGTTGGAAACCATCCGCCCTCCATCTGCGAAGCGGTTGTCAATGTTTAAGCATCAGGGTCGTAAGTGGCAGGCGAAACGCCCGGCTGGCCCTTTCGACCGGCCTCGGGGTGCAACAGGGAGGAGTTATTTATAAGGGTAAAGAAATCGAGCAGGAGGAGGAGGAGGAAGAGGACAAGGAGGATGACGCTCACCTGGCGCAGGGGGCGGAGCGCCCCAACGCCTTGCCCACGAGAAAGAGAGAAGGAGAGAGAGAGAGAGAGAGAGAGAAACAAAAAAAAAAGAAAAAGTACACCCACGTCGCCCGCAGGCGGCAGTTGGGGCGACCGAGGCGGCGAGAAGGGCGGTGGAGGCGGCAGCTGGGGCAAAGGCGGCGGCGGCGGAAGCTCACTCGAGGGTTGGATGCAGAGGGAGATCGCGGACCTGGTGAAGAAGCGCCCTCCTCCGCTCCTCCGCTCCGCCGTCGCCCCTGGGCGTCGTGCCATATCACGGTGAGCGTCTCTACGCCGTTTTTGATAGCAGAGCCCATTTGGAACTATCCGTCCCGAAGAATCGAGTGTAAAACATGGGGTCCCAAGTTTCGACTACGTTACTTTCGCGAACGATGTTGTCGAATGTCGGAGCTGTGCGAGACTGCATGCTCCAGGATTCCGGGAATGGGATACGCAAAGCCAGAGGGAGAGGGACGACGGATCATTACGAAGGCGCATTAATGACGCTGCTTTTGTGTGCGCTATTGTGACTTTCGCAGGGGGGGCGCCATCGTGAAGCGGAGTGTTCCACGAACACTTTTCGTTGCCTCCTCGACGGTTGACCTGGGATGAGGGAGTGTCAGAACGTGGTCCTCCTCTTTAGTTTGTTGGGCACGAAGCAGATGAAGAGGCATGGATTGCGAGTCGATGGAGGGGACTCCGTGGATAAGGTACCGATGGACGTGTATGGTGGGGGGAGCGGAGGCGACGGTGGAGCTAAGCAACGGGCCTCAATCGATTCATCCATCTCTCCCGACCAGCTCTAGCGCCAGACTGCCAAGCCGAGGTATTCCCTGGACGACAGGCTGGAGAGGCGCCTGGCGGAGAGGATGCAGTCTCGAGAAAACACGTGCCCTGCCCGACACCAGCGCCCTCTCCGGCCGGCGATAGACAATGAGGTTGCGATTGAGTTGAGCCCAAGCTTTGCACTAGTGGCCTTGCACGGTGTACTTGGCATCTCCTCATCTGTACGGCCCGGCTTCCTTCTCCAGAGCCCACTCAGCCCATCTCTGTCATCGGGGTGACGTGGGTTAGGGCCGTTCCATGTCCAAACAGCCTGGAGGTTCCAGCAAGTTTTGTGGAGGCTTTGCGCTTTCTGCATGAAGTCAGAAACTCCTAGCTACAGTCGAGACATGCGGGGCCTGGTCCAGCCCCTGACAGGAGACATGTGGTAAGCGACCCGTCACGCATGTTGGTGGGGCAAGCGTCGATGCAAAGCCGACTTGCCAGAAGTGGGGCGCTGCCTTGCCCTTCCCAGAGATTCGAACGTGTCGATTTGCTCAGATCCCCTGGTGGAGCCGTCAGTTCGGGAAGATGTGAGCTAGCGGGTCGAGCCAGTCGACACCGAGGAGGGGATTCGGGGAGGGGCAGCGCGTGAGAGTAATCTGCCAGATTGGAGAGCCCAGACGCTGGCCTGTGGGAGGCTCGCACACATGGGGTCTTCCCCCGCATCGCCTGCCAGCGCGCAGGACAGCTGCACCGCGAACCCTCGATCGTGCGAGCCTTCAACGCCCGACCTTGGAGTTTTTTTCCCCTAACAGCTTGCTGAACGGGGTGCTGTTGTGATAGAAGCTAATTCCGGCCGAGGGAAAGCTAAGCAGAGACATCCTCAAACAAATGTGGTGGTCCGGCCCGTTTCGCCTGAGACATCCTCACAATTCTCGTTTCTGAGTTGTCCGGGATTGAGCGTTTCACCTGAGACATCCTCCTAAATCTGAGCTCTGAGAGGCCGCGCGAGAGGTGGTCCGGGCCGTTTCGCTTGAGACATCCTCGAAATTCTGAGCTCCCAGATGCCGCGCGAGAGGTGGTCCGGGCCGTTTCGCCTGAGACATCCTCGCAACTCTGAGCTCCAAGATGCCGCGCGCGAGGTGGTCCGGCCCGTTTCGCCTGAGACATCCTCGAAACTCTGATCTCCCCGATGCCGCGCGCGAGGTGGTCCGGCCCGTTTCGCCTGAGACATCCTCGAACTTCTGAGCTCTGAGATGCCCTGCGCGAGGTGGTCCGGCCCGTCTCGCCTGAGAAATCCTTGCAACTCTGAGATCTGAGATGCCGTGCGCAAGGTGGTCTGGCCTGTTTCGCACAAGATATTCTCGCAACTCTGAGCTCTCAGATGCTGCGCAAGAGGTGGTCCAGCCTGGGGGCCCAGAAGGCCACATGTTACATATCCTCCATGGGACCCTGCGAGCCTCAGGAGGCCCCAGAGAGGTCCAGGAGGCCGCAGGACGCCCAGGACAGGCCCCAGGGGCCCCCAGGAGATTCCCAGGAGGCCCCAGGAGGCCCTCTATCAGAACGTGTCAAGTTAATACACATCCGGTGTCGATTCGTTGATTTTTCCTGCTCTTGTGCCCCCCCCTCCATTTGGAGAGGCCCAAGCGGCCACAGGTTAGATATCCCCCCTGGGAGCCCCAAGATGCTTCAGGAAACCTCAGGTGGAGTTCAGGAGGCCACAGGAGGCCCAGGAGGAAGCTCCAGGAGGTCCCCAGGAGGCCCAGGAGGCACCAGGAGGCCGCAGGACGCCCAGGACAGGCCCCAGGGGTCTCCAGGAGATTCCCAGGAGGCTCCCAGGAGGCCCCAGGAGGCCGCTTATCAGAACGTGTCAAGTTAATACACATCCGGTGTCGATTCGTTGATTTTTCCTGCTCTTGTGCCCCCCCCCCCCCTCCATTTGGAGAGGCCCAAACGGCCACAGGTTAGATATCCCCCCTGGGAGCCCCAAGAGGCTTCAGGAAACCCCAGGTGGAGTTCACGAGGCCACAGGAGGCCCAGGAGGAAGCTCCAGGAAGTCCCCAGGAGGCCCCAGGAGGCACCAGGAGGCCCCCGCAACTCGGAGCTCTGAGACGCCGCGCTCGAGGTGGTCCAGCCCGTTTCGCCTGAGACTTCCTCGCAGCACGTTTCGCCCGAGACATCGTCGCAACTCTGGGGTCCGAGATGCCGCGCGCGAGGTGGTCCAGCCCGTTACGCTGGAGACAGACATCCTCGCAACTCTAGGCTCCGAAATGCCGTATCGAACGATGAAGAGGAGGTGAGGAGGAGGAGGAGGAGGAGGAGGAGGAGGAGGAGGGAGATGGAAGGGAAAAGGAGGAGGCGGATGATGTGCATGAGGGAGCAGGCAGGAGGAGGGGGAGGTCCCAGAGAGCTTCAGGAGGCCGCAGGACGCCCAGGACAGGCCCCAGGGGTCCGCAGGAGATTCCCAGGAGGCTCCCAGGAGGCCCTCTATCAGAACGTGTCAAGTTAATACACATCCGGTGTCGATTCGTTGATTTTTCCTGCTCCTGTGGCCCCCCCCTGTATTTGGAGAGGCCCAAACGGCCACAGGTTAGATATCCCCCCTGGGAGCCCCAAGATGCTTCAGGAAACCTCAGGTGGAGTTCAGGAGGCCACAGGAGGCCCGGGAGGAAGCCCCAGGAGGTCCCCAGGAGGCCCCAGGAGGCACCAGGAGGCCCCCGCAACTCGGAGCTCTGAGACGCCGCGCTCGAGGTGGTCCGGCCCGTTTCGCCTGAGACTTCCTCGCAGCACGTTTCGCCCGAGACATCGTCGCAACTCTGGGGTCCGAAATGCCGCGCGCGAGGTGGTCCAGCCCGTTACGCTGGAGACATCCTCGCAACTCTGGGTTCCGAGATGCCTTTCGGGATGAAGAGGAGGTGGACGAGGAGGAGGAGGAGGAGGCATGTTTTAACATGCCATGCCAGCCCGCACTAGGCGGGCACGCAATCGACCTTGGAAACCGCAGTGGGTCTAAAAACCCTGTTTGGGGATACTGCACTCCGGCTATAATTTTGTTGGGGGATCCTGGCTGCTGACGTCGCGAAGTCGTCACGACGTCGCGGCAAACATCACGACATACATCCCTTAATCATACGTGTGTATGTCTAAGGGCCTTCGGCCCATCCCGCCACGGTGCATGGGTTGTGCGTCGGAGGCGTCTTGGATACATCTTAAAGCCCATTGGGACCCGTCTTGGGGGCCTCTCGAAGGGCTCCCTGAGGGCTTCTTGGGGCCTCTTGGGGCCTCTTGGGAGCCTGGGGGCCTCCTGGGGGCCTCTTGCAGGCCTCTTTCAGGCCTCTTGGAGACCTCGTGGGGTCCTCTTGGGGGCGTCTCGTGTGCCTCTGCAAGAATCTCTGGGGCGCAGGGCTCGAACTACCCTTCGCGTTCCTCCTCCCTGGCTATTGGGTGCTCTCGGGCCCCCTTTAAGACGATCTTGGGGGATTGTTTGCCCGTCTTGGGCGTTGTAGAAGCTGAGAATGCAGCCATCACTCAAAAGCCTTAGGTCTTGCCGGCGATGTTGGCCTCTTGGGTTGGCCTCTTTGACCGTCTTGGGGCCCTTTTGGCCCGTCTTGGCGGTATCTGGACTCTAAAGTGAGCCGGGACAAGGGCGAGAGATAGCGAGCGTTTGTCCGTGGCCGCTTGGGCTCAAGCGGCCGGCCGCTAACATATGACTGCGCCTCATTGCGAGGCATACTACTTGCCATCGAAACCGAAAACATCCTTCGCTTGAGATGGCCCGTCGCTCCAGCGACGACCTCCTCCGACTGGGACTCACGCTACTACGGTACAACAGAGTGGGAGCTGCGCTTTGCCAAAGCGAAGCTTCTGGTCGGGCCTCCCGGCCCCTTTCAAACTTGGTAGCGGAGGTGGCCTCTGGTGGTCAGCTCTTGCTCTACTCCTCACCATTCACGGCACTATCTGGTGGATTACTGACATGGTGGAACATCCGGGTGAAGTGGGTCTGCGCGAAGGAATGTACATACTTACGCACAGCCGCAAGGACACTTGCAGTGCTACCTCTGCTCTCGCGGAGGCATTGTATAGTCTGATTGGTTGTAGACTGCAGGTTAAGTGGGAGGGGGTGTGGGCTCAGGTAGCCATTTTGGGTCCGTAGCGTTCGGCTCTGGCCGACGCGCGGGTGTTCCAGGGGGCCGCGGGGCGGCCATAACCACAGCCGTGCTAGTCCGCGGACTAGGTAGCGCGCTTGTGGTGCCATGGCTGTGGGCTTCCTGGGGGCGCACCTGATGATCTTGGTTACGGGCGGCGCTCTTACGGTCCAAGGGGCACTTGGCTGGCTGCCGTTCGGGCGCGGGGGACATGAGGTCCCAGCGCCGACGCCGCCAGCCCTGCCCGGGCCGACAGCGCCGCCGGCAGGCGGTGGGGGGCGAGGCAAGGGGCGAGGACCGCCCGCCAAGCCCGCGCCTGCAGGGGGAAAGGGGCGAGGGCCGCAGGCCAAGCCCCCGGGGACGCCGGGCGTCCCACCGCCGCCGCGGTCAGGGTCGACTACAACGACCACGACCGCGGGCATCGGGCGCGTAGGCGAGGGCGAGCCCACAGGCAGCCCAGCTACGCCGGCATACGGAGGTAACAACGAGCCCACGGGCGCGCCTGGGCAGCCGTCCGCCCCGGGAAACCGGACGGGCGATGGTGAGCCTGACCTGCCGCGTGGGCTGGACGGGTATTGGGGGTGGAGTGGTTGGGTCCCGCACCTGCCCCATTGGTGGGCTGGCCGGAGCGAACCCCCACCGCCGCCGCCGCCACCTACCCCGCCCCCGGAGGCGGGGCCGGGTCCCGGTTGGGGCTTCGCAGCCTGGGTCTTCGAGGTCGTGGGCTATGGAGCGTGGGTAAGCTCCCCCGACCACCCGGGCACGATCCGCACGAGTGGCGGATGGATTGGATCCGCCGTCGACCGCCTGGGCGTTAAGATGCTTGGGTATTGGTGGGAGACCGCGGTCTTATGCTTTGCCCTAGGCATCTTCACGTTCGTGTTGGGTGCCCTGGCCTTCATCGTCAACACCGCAGCCCAGCCTATGCTGTGGGCTGCCGGGGGACTCCGCTGGGCGTGGTACCAGATTACCCGGTGCT